TATATTAATTATATTATATTATATTATATTATATTATATTATATTATATTATATTATACTGAAAACTAAAGATGCACTGGCTAGTGTATATTACCTGGAATGAGACTGAAGTTTAAGGCAACATAGAGGCCAGTCTGAGGATCTTTGTCCATTGCTTTGACTGTAAAATTTACATTTCCCTTGGGTGGCAGAGTAAATGTTTTCCATAGTAACCTCTCATCTTCCATCTCTTGTACTTTTTTGTGTAAAGTAAATTGTATCGCAGTGTCTAGTGTCAGGTTGGCGATTGAAATGGGCTGTCCCTGTGGTGTAGCAAACTCCATGGCTGCAAGTGTGGTTGATATAGCAGGTTCTGCAGCTGGAATAAATGGGTTTTCTTCACCCTCCATTTGCAGAAGGATCTGCAGGACCTCTTGTTTTTCCTCCTTTAGTTGAGAGCTCAGTGCTAATGGGATGTGAAACTGGCAGTGGCTAAGGGGATTTGTGCACAGGAGGTCTTTAGTAGGGTCACCCCGTACACCCACCGCAGTGATCTTAGGAACAGCGAGAGAGAGAGCTTCTTCTCCACTCATCCGCGACCGCATTAATGAACGCATGAGCTCTAAAATCTGGCCCAGTGCTGATACAGCTGTCTCTGATGTATCCACATGCTTGAGGCCTGAATTGTTCCTCTGCCTCTGATCAGCAGTCAGTGTGCTGCCTGCAGTGAAAATGGAAGGATGGTTAAGCCACGGTTCATTTTCAACTTCAGAGTGAACCTCTGTTATCATACTGAATATGAATTCTGCTGAACGTAGTTACTTAAAACAGCCAGAATGTTCCTGCCGGTGTCTGTGGGGTTGATGTCACCCTGTCCTGTTTGTTCTCTTATCACTTTGATCATCTTCTCTGTGACCTTCAGCACCTTTGCACGGCAGCCGTTGCACTGCACTTCAGAAGGAACCACCTGCAGACAGGAAAGTACATTTTACAGTTAAGCATTTGCATTCGCAACATCACATGTGACAATAATTTGATCTTAGGTAGCACTCCTCATTATGCACAGCAGGCAATCTGTATTCAGTGACAGGCCTCAGCTTCTCGTATCACATTATACTGGATCTCTAAAATGCTGACATACTTTGTGTCAGGCTATGTTTCATGTTGATTAATGCTATATTGTCCATAAGCTTTAATAGTTAAAAGCCTTACTGTAGACTGGGCCAAAGCTGAGCTGATCAGAGCCGCATCCTGCAAGGAGGAGACCGGCAGAGACGCTAGAGCCTGAATGACATTTCCACGTATCTGAATCCTGTCCTCCAACTCTTCAGCATTTATGGATGCTAGCTGTGGAAGTGGTTGATTTTGATTCAGAAACACATTTTCTAACAAAATAGGTGGAGAATCACAGAAACTCAAGTATCATGTATTTTATGACAGATGTATTGGACTGACACCTCGTGGTGTGGATGCAACTACACAAAAAGCAAATATCGTCAATGGCTGATTATCTATCCCTTTAAATTCAGAATTTAAAGGGACAGTTTGCCCAAAATTCAGTCATCATTTAATTGCCCTCATGCATTACAAACCTGTATGACTTTCTTTCTTCTGTGGAACACAAAAGAAGATATTTTGAGGAATATTGGGAACCAAACAACATTGACCCCAAGTGACTTCCACTGTACAGAGGGGAAAAAAAACACTGAGACATTTCTCAAAATATATTCTTTTGTGTTTCACAGAAGAAAGTCATGCAGTTTTGGATGACATCATGATGAGTAAATGATGACAGATTTTTCATTTTTGGGTGAATCCTTTTAAGAACTTGCCCCCCTTTTAGTTCATGAGTTGGAATTTGAATTAAAATAGCTACACCCCACAGGAAGTTGAACTGGAACTGTAGGAGGTGCACTATTACATTACAATTACATTTAAGAGAAGTTCAACAGATAATGGCATTCTGGGAAAATAAAGTGTTCTTCCAGCATTATTTTCCATATACATATCTTATCTAAATACATGAATAAAAACACGTCAACAGAAGTGACATTTCAAACAGATGTATCTGTCTGCCTGTCTTTAAAATTTCTTAATTTAAAATGACACCTACTATGATTCTATGAGTTTATTTGAATTTTAGTTTATTATAATTCTACTTCCTAAAATGAAAATTTGGCATCTGGTTTGCTACCACAAATACAAATGACAACTGAATTGGAATTTTAAAAGCATTCTCATTGAAGTTATGAATTCAGTTTACCATTATGAACATTTCATGTGAGTGTGTTTTTATTATTATTATTATTATTATTATTATCTATTTTATCCATCCAGTATAATACTCTTTTTAATTAGGATGATTCTGAGTACACCTCTTAATAAACATCCAGACAACTGGTTTGTCAGGGCTATCTCAGTTACCTGATTAAGTTGGCTGCTCAGGGCAACAGAATATTGAGTAATGTCCTGAGGGTTGCCTTGTTGGCGCAAGGCCCATAACTCTGACTGGCTCTTATTCCTCAACCACTCTGTTGTACATTGGTCTCTCAGCAGCACTGTCAGGTTCCTGCAGAAAATATCAATTGTAATTTTGGAGCTGTGATTTTTTGTCAAATTTGATCTGACTATATACAACTGCCAAGCAGCTGACTGACTAACTTTCTTGCTGCGATGACTGATGCCCCCATACTGTCCTCGACCAGCACCAGCACGTAAATAACAGATAAGTTTTCCTCTGTGCTCAGTCTACCCAGTGGCACCAGGGAGCTGAACGTGCTCTGAGTGCCTCTGTAAAGGGTAATCAAGGGACATAATGGTCCAAAATTTTCACACTGTGCCACCTGCAGTGAAAATATCAGCTGAGCTGAGTCACTGTCATCATCCATCCACTCTGCCATTGAGAAAAAAATAGCAAAGAATGCATCAATCCGCAGAGCCATTACTTGGGTGAGAAATAAGAGGAGAAGAGAAAAGACACTACCTGAGCAACTGTAAGAGACCATGGTTTCTAGGAAATGAAGTGAGTCGTCGGGTGACAGAGTGCAAATACCCCCGTAGGGAGGATGGTTGGAGACTAAGGTGATGCTTGCCGACCCCCAAAGCCCAGAGGCTGGTTCAGACACGTTGAGAGTAAAGGTGTATTCTTGGCCCTCCATTAGCACCCCTGGTTTAATGACTATTTCTCTCCAGAGACTTCCTGTCAAGGTAGTGACCTCATTCAGTGTTAGAGCTTCACCTTTCTGATTCTCTGCAGTCCACCTGTACTGTAGTTGAAGTGTTTTAAAACATTATTAAGGTATGTGTGTGAGAGTGAGAGAGAGAGAGAGAGAGAGAGAGATAGAGACTGAAGGCGTATGAAGTTATTTTAAGGTACATTGTGAATTGAATACCTGTACAGTGTCTTGACATGAAGAACAATGACCAGCCAATGCAATGTAATGGCTGTGCCTTAAATGGAAAGACAGCAGGGAATTACAGGAGACGCACTTTACAGTCACAGGTAGCAACGTGGTATTGTACACTGTAACCTGCAAGAATAAAAACAGAGTTAAAGACATTTTCTTTTGAAACATGAAGGAGACATATTGAAGGGTTTCTACTTTTTTTTTCATTACCAAAAACCTCTATCCTAATGCATAATGCATACATATCTTATGCATTCTGAATGACAAGAGACTAAATTATTTTAATTTTTGGATGAACTATCCCTTTAACAGAATGTCTCATAAGAATGAAGATTTCCGTGAACATAATTTTCAGTAAAATGTGAGCTGGAATAAACTGTAACATTTTTATCTGTACATTTTCTTTATTCTATGGTTAGAAATTGTTGAGAGTGCAAATCTGAATGAGACATTTGGATATTTTCAAGAATGTTTCAAGTGCTTCTGTCCAATGAAAGTCGGTGGGGACCAAAATAACAGACACCATTGACTTTATTTTTTGACAAAAAAAAAAAAAAAAAAAAAAAATTTTTAAACTAAAAATCTCACAAAAAAAAAAAAAATTCTAAATATCTTTCTTATGTTCCAGAGAAGAAAGAAAGTCATACAGGTTTAGTACGTAATGAGTGTGAGGAAATGCTGAAGTTAATATTAATGACAAATATGTTCATAGTGAAATGCTGAAAGCAAAGTGAAGTAAAATAAGTTAACACTCACCAACTGTGATATAGAGACAGGTTGTCGTCCACTTTTGTAAAGGGTGAGAGTAAAGTGGTACATTCTGTCTGGCAGCAGTGCACTTCTAGGAAGAAGCAGTATACTTCCATTTCCTGGAATATGTTGATGAAGGGTGGAAACAGCTGAAGGCATTGCTGTTGTGTTCTGGAAGCACAGAATACACCATCAATTGAATGTTTATGTTAGTGAATCAAGTATTTACTGCATTTGTGATGTACTGTACCTCTATAGTGTAACCCCACTGGAACTGAAACAACTCGATATCATTCTCCTCTGAATCTGGATCAAAAGACTCAGTTGCATCCAAAATCATATCATACTGACTTGACCAGAACCTGTGAGAACCACCTTTAATCACAGGCACCAACTCACTGTGGACCACGGTAAGCGGTACGGTCCTGTTCTGCTGTAGAGGAGTTCCTCGAAGTTTGGCAGTAAATGTCAGACAGTAGTTTCCCACTTTCAGAGAGTGCTTTGGCAGAGAAAGAAGCGGCGTTGTGACATGCACTGAATCATTTAAGGACACCTTGTCCATTCCTGAGCAATCTTGGCCCATGTAGATCTCCCAGAAATAATATGCTTTGTGTGTAACACAACTGTTGAAGTCCACTCTTGCTTCAAAGAAACTTGGTCTGCATTTTATTATTTTATATTGATCTTTTACAATGTAGATGTGTGGCTGGGTGCACTCCAGCTTTTGTACTTTAATTGTCATTTGAGTGGAGACCTCACTTATGTTGTTGTAAGCTGTTAATTTCACAACAAACACACCAGTAACATTGTATTTGTGGACTTGTCTATTGGATTCTGTAACCAGGGCTCCTTCATTGGCATCACCAAAATCCCAAAGGAATTTAAGGTTGCTGCCTCCATCTGTGATGGCTACAAATGTGATCGGATAATCAATAAAAGCTCCATCATCAGAGGTAAAAAGCTTCACTTTCTTCACATGCTTCTGTATTGTTGCTATACTGGTCAGGGACTGTGAACAGAAGCCATTATCAGCTTCCACTGTAACAGACAGGGATCCATTAGTGAAAGGTGTAAAGTGAACATTTTGCCCGATTTCTCGAGAGGACTGGACTCCATTTAATAGAAAAGTCCAGTGGTAATTGGCTTGTGAGCCACTGGACGCTTGAAAACTGATGTTTTTGGAAGCCTCTAAGACAGCAGAGCAACATCCGATCAAATGCAGACCTTTAATTCTTTCCACAACTCTGACAATCACTGTTGCAGTTTGGTAACTGACATGATTTGTTGCTGTTGCTCTTACAAGGTGGTTTCCGATTGAAAGAGAAGAGGTGGTAAAATTCTGCCAAATTGCTACGGAATAACTTGCATTAACAAACTCCAAAGAAAAGGAAACTTCACTTCCTTGGGAGACAGATGGTGTGAAAGTAACCGGATCGTCCTCGCATATAACATTGCTGCTAGCCATAAGTAAAAGTCCCTGGATGGCATCCTGAACCATAACTGTATATGAAACAGTTTGCCAGCTAATGTCATTTGAGGCATTAAGTGAGATACGGTGATCTGCAACATCCGCAAAAGAATAGCTAACAGTTTGATTGTCTGCAAGAACCATAACAGTGTTGTTGTGAAACATTAAAACCCATTCCCAATGAAGGACATTTCCTGTTCCTGCAGAGCCATGGAGCAACAAGAGGCTATTTGATGTTACAAAAAATGGTCTGAATTGTCCATTTATCTGAAAGTCCACTTTAGAGATGTTCTCCTGAATTATTAGTAGCTTGATTGCATCATCAGACCCAAACACATTCGAGACTGACACTCTGATCTTGACCATGCCGATAACTTTAAAAACATGCAGAACAAAAGGCACATCTGATATTACAGGACTATGCTCAGAATCCAGGAACCATGAGTACCGAAGGTCTGTTCCAGATGACACGCTCACAGATATCCTCACTGGCTTTCCTTTGGCTACAGCATTCATTGGTGATGAAATACTCAGACCAGACACAAGCTCTACTGCTCTCAGTGAAAGGTCGGTATCTACTGATCCAAGAACATTGGATACTACCAGCTTGACATGTATATCACCAGGGCTGTTTGTAAAAAGTGGAAATTGTTTGCTATTACTTGCCATTCTTTGGTTTGCAGTCCACTCATAGGTCAAGTTAGAACCACGTGTCACTGATGCCGTCAAGAGTACGGTCTGATTTGTCAGGAAATATCTTCCAGACTGTAGCGCTTGAGATGGAATTCGAACCCCATGTATTCTCTCAACAACCTCAATGTGTGTTATGGATTCTACTCGACTGACAAGATTTTGTGCTGTGACTTTAATCTGAAACACCCCTGCTTTAGGAAACACATGCATGAATGTGGACGTCCCAGGTTTTGGAGGTGATGAAGGATTCACAGTCCAATAAAACACAACATTTTCATTAACATCAGTCTGAGCTGTTATCAGTATCTTTTTTCCAGCCTCCACAAACGGCTGACTGGTATTAACCATTAAGTATGAAAGTGGTGCCTGCACCTCAATCTCTATGGACACAGAATCTGAACTTATCACATTAGATGCGGTGGCCGTTACACGAAACCGCCCAGGAAAACAGAAAACGTGTGACTGATTCTGACCTTCCTTTTTGAAGCCATCACCAAATTCCCACTGAAAAGACGCTATTTTACCAGGAAGCTCAGCCCAAAAGTAATAGGACTGATTCACAGTCACTGCATCATGGTTACATTCATATTTTATGGATAGATTAGATAGAGGCCTTTGAACTGAAATGGTTGCTTTTGCTCTTCCATTGCTGACCTTGTTATGGACCTGCACTGAAATTTCATACAAACCCTCCTCTTGAAAAACAAAGCAATGGTGTGACTTGCCTTTGACTGGGACTGTATCACTAGAAAGATTGTTATACCACCAAAACAGACAATCTGTTACTTTGGGAAGCACAGAAACCTCATAGCATATTTCCTCATTCACAGCTACAGCACTCTTGGCTGAATGCAGAGTAACATCTGTTATTTGAGTTTCAACACATATGCTGGTTTCATAATGGGCCGAACCCAACAAGCTATGAACTTTTACACCAACTGTGTAAGTTCCTGAATTTAGAAAAGTATGACTGATAGTTGTATCTCCTTTAACAACAGACAGTGGTGTGCCATCTCCAAAATCCCAGTCAAATGTCAAAACTGGAACGTATCCTTTGACCAATACCTCAAAATTGATCTCTGCTTTACTCACAATGCAGTCTGCTGGGATAATTAGTAAAATTAGCAAACGATAGACTTCCACATTGACTAACCGGTGATCTTTACTCACAGAATTATAAGCAGTAACCTGAACAGTGTAATTTCCGAGAGACTTATAAATGTGAGTGGCTGAGCTTCCGGTGTGATCTTTAAGTATCGACCCATCTCCAAAGTCAAAGGTCCATTTTATATGTGTGCCTGCAGATACTCTGCCACTGATTTCAAAGGTACAGTTCAGTTCAATGGAGCCATTGTAATATAGCTGGAGACCTGAGACAGCCTCAACTACCTCCACTGCTGTATAGTTAGTCAAGACCGACAGGGAGTTGTTGGCACGAATGGTGACATTGTATGTGCCGGGTCTTTTATAAACATGCCTGACTTTACTGTAATATTCCTTAACTTGATCAGAGTCATCGCCAAAATTCCATGAATAAAGCACTCCGTGTGAAGAGGGCCATAGTGAGACCTCAAAGAGGATGGTGTGGTTGACTTGACATACAGTAGGAGATGATGACACCAACATTCTTGATATTGGAGTCCTTATTTTAACAGTTATAAACGTTTCACTTTGGTCATATTGGTTGTAAGCCTTGATTTTCAGTGTGTAGTCACCTAAAAAAATAATAAAGATAAATAAATAAATAAATAAATACATACATTTAGTGTGTCATTTTTTCACCAAGGTATTTTTTCCCACTTAAAGGTATCAGTAATTTCATGTTGTGCTGTCAGATTTTGGGTTTTGGCAGCATCAAGTAAAAGCAAATGGTTTCAGTTAATGATGTATTGCAATCAGTCTTGATTAATTTATTAAATATTAATTCATTTTTAAAAGTACCATTAATTTCTTTACGGATAAAACTTTTAACGAGGACTAAAATACACATTTTTTAAATATTAGGTTACTAATTATAAATAATTATAAAACAAAAATGTATAATATAAATCATTTTGATAAATAAATAATTTGAAATTATTTATAGTACCTGGAAAAAAAAATGTATGATGGATGGAATCTTGCAGATAGACATATTTGGCACTTCGGTGAAAATAGCTGTCTTCCATCTCTAAAGGAGCAGAAACTGGGTGACTGACAGATGCTGTATTATCACCAAAATCCCATCTGGAGAGATAAATCATTTCATAATATAGCATAATGGAGCATTATACATTCAGAAGAGGTCAAACTTAATTTAATCATTTTAACTAAATTATAATTCAGAGACATTAACCTCATTGTAACGCCTATAGAGATGTCAGATTTTACTTGAATTGTGTAGCAAGTTGAGGTGTTTACAGCAATGGCCTCTGGCATGGAAATTACTTCTAGGTCAGCTAATGGGGTCATCACATCAGCTGTGAGCTTCACCTCAATTAACTGAGAGCTCACAGGGTTATTTGCCATTACCTAGAGCAGAGTAAGCAGTAAAGATCTGAAGAAATTATAAACATGAATTCATTCATAACAAAACCTGAAGCAATGATTCTCAACTGGTGGGTCATGATGACTTCAAAATGGGTGACAGGGTCACTGGTGGCAGGAAAACAACAATGCTGCTAAATGCAAATAATAAAATGCAGATAATGTATAAAATAAATAATCATGTATAAGTAGTTTAACAAAATAAATTGTTTTATCTACTTTTAAAAGAGAAAATGCTTTACATTTCTTTTTCTTGTTTACATCAAAGGTTGTGCATCCAAATAAACTTCCAGTATTTTCACTTAAAACAAAGATAAATATGGATTGTGCCACTACCAAAAATAATTTTGTGGGATGAATTATTGGCTGCAGAGAGCATGGACCCAATGAAATTCAACATTTAGAAACCAAATAGTCTTATCTATAAAGATAAGCCTATGTTGATGTTAATAGTTTGGCACTCTTTAAAAATATTTTTTTTATTTGTTAGTCACTTCAATTTGTTAGTAAATATTAAAATTATCGTTCTGCAAAAGCAGTTAATTGTAATATTAATACATTTTAAAGTTTGATTTGAAAAACAAAGAATTTTGTCTTTGATCTTAAAGCAAAACCAGCTCAGAACCACTGATTTAAAGGACCTTGATCACTGTATCATTGCTGTAGGCTCAGTTTCACAAAGGGGTTTAAACTTGTACTTGGAAATTTTTCTGTTATATTAACATGTTTACCTTTAGCTTGTATTCTGCCGGCTTTTTAAAAACCACACTGTAGGACTCTCCTGTGTGTGGAAACTGGACCAGGTCATCAATAACCCAATTATACTTCACTGATGAGCCTGTAACTACTGAAGCTGTAAACAACTGGAGAGAGAGAGAGAGAGAGAGAGAGAGAGAGAGAGAGAGAGAGAAACAAACAAACAAACAAACAAAAAAAACAGAGTAAGCACCTCATTTAAAGTCTAGTTATGACATTCTAGAAACCTTTTCTTCAAATACCAAGTAAATACCATTAGCACATCAAATTCGAAAATGTTACTGGTGAACTTTTGAGGTAATATTTTCTTTCGCAATGACACACATAAGAAAATTGATACCTGTGGTATGTCCACTAGAACTCTGTTGAAGCCCTGAGGCTGGATTCTCAGGCCAGTTACAGGAATATGAGACACAACTCTCACGCTCAGAGTCTGGGAGTTCAAGCTGTTTGAAGCCATGATATTTAGTATATGTTCCCCTTGACTAGAAAGCTTCATGTATACATGAGAGAACCACATGTCAAGAGAAGCCCTAACACACCCTCCTTCAATCTCAGGCATCTCAGCAGGGCAAGAAGATACAAAAGGGACTCCGTTCTTAGACACAGGGTCTGACCAGGAACTGGTTGCGTTTCCTCCTGAAATGATCTGGATGACAATGAGGGTTGGGACATTGACAGCAACATGCATTTGGATGTCCTTGTCAAGCTTTGGATATAAAACTTGCAACCCTGTGACAGGACTCTCTGCTTTGATTGGACTGTTGCTCTGTGAGGTGCTGGGTATTGCTGAAACCCCAAAGTGTGGCATTGTGTCCTCGTAAATCACCCGGAGGTCACAGACCAGTTCATCTAGCCATTGGCCCTGTCCCGGTTGGGCAGACAGACCCCCCTCTAACCAGCCCCCCCACTCAGGCCCATGCAGGGAGAGGTAACTCTGGCGCCAGGATGAGCTGGTAGTGGCAACACAATGTAGAAATTCACCTGCTCTTCTAGTGTGCTGCAATGCCAGAATGTCATCAGGATAGACAGTGATATATTTGTCTTGTACTATAACCTACAAAAACACAAAAATAAGTGTCTTTGATTTTAGGTCATTGTCAAACTTTCTACTATCAGTTAAATTAATAGCTGTGAAATGGGCTCTGTTCCAGAAACCTAGTGAGCTGCCTATAAAATTAATTTGCATCATAATTTTAGCATAATTAAGACTACTAAAATAAGTTTAAAAGTTACAAAATAAATCCAAGATGGTGGACAAGTAAAATTAAATTCCTGAAATTTAACTTTGCATATTCATGTTTCTCTGATTTTGGTTAATTGTCACCCTGGTGCTTTAGGAATCTAATCAAACTTAATATAATAACAGACCTAACAAATATGCCTTAAATTCTCCACTTTCCAAATGTTCAAACTCTTAAGTTTTCAACATTTCAAAGCCTAAAGCTTTTATTTTGATGGAATGCTGGTGAAACACCGTAAACTTCTGTCCACAAAAATGTTGGAAATTATGCAAATATGTAAATAAAGTAAACCTGGCACACACTGAGTTCCCATATGACCTTTAAACTAATGTAAATGTAAAGATGGAGTTCACTGCTTGACTGTAAACTGAGTTGCTCTGAGATGCTGAAAACACCAGACCATGAGCTGCTTGTGTGTAAATGAACGCAGTGTCACTCTTTACTCTGCAATTAGTGCTATTTTTTTGTTTCAGTTGTCAACTTTACTGAATATGACCTTGAAGGACTTCAGTATTAATATTACTGTAATATTGTTGCAGTGCTTGTCTTGTTGCTAGGCCTATTGTTTAGTACAGTCCAATGGATTATTTTACTTTGTGGACGTTTTAAGATAATATACAGGTTAAAACTGTAAAATAATTATTAGAAATGAGTTATTAATTAATTAAGATAAATAATTAATTTACAACTTTTTGCCGACTTATGCTAATTAGATTTTGGAACAGAGTCAACAAGTCAAGTGTTGCCACCTACACTGATGTGTGTGTGTTCAGTGCTTTGGGTCAGTGTCAGTGACATGTCTGCCATCAAGTGGAAGAACGGTGGCGTCGCAGGGTAGCGGGGAGGCAGGGGGAATACATGTCCCCCGTTTAAGGAGTGGTAAGAGCTGCACGGACTGGTGACGGGCAGACAGATCTCCAGCAGGTGACACCAGTACTGCCCACTGGCACAGCCACCGGTGGTGTTGCACATGGGCATCAGTGAACAGCAGCTAAAAGGGTTCAGGAGAGAACTACAACCTGAGAGAGAAGATGTTTTATAAATTGTACATCTTGACCTGATAATTTGATTACTGTTAACAATGTGTTTCTCATTAGTTTAATTTGCTCACCAGGTGGTACTAGGTGATGACTTGGGCTGCAGTACGGCCGTAAGATTTGCACTCTAGCAAAGGTCAGCTGATCACTTGGCTGCGTCACCAAATCCAAAGACAGGACTCGACCCTCATGACTGAACCAAAGACCCGGGAACAACATAATCTGTGCACAAACCAATTGGCTTTAAAAACATACTAAACTGTTTTTTTTTTTTTTT